GAGCGGTAGAATTCAACGGTAAGCTTTTTAGTTTCGATGTTGACATAGGCAAAAATAGCGATGGCCGCGAAGGAGCCGACAATAATTAGAAGTTGGGCCCAAGAACGCAGGGAGAGGAGGTAAGCCCATCTCTCCACCCAGAGATGACGTGCCTCTTTGATTAGGAGCCCCACAAGTGCGAGAATGAAGAGACCCTGAAGAAAAAGAGGAAGTTAGTTTCAGTAGACAGCAGACTACCGAAGCCAACCGCTCGGCTAGGAGCACCATAACATATACTACGGTGTTTCATACAAAATGTCGACATTTGCGAAATATTGAAAATCACTCGCAAACGGGGATTAAGTAGGGTTTTAACACTGAGTATCGTGCAGCCTAATCAGTGTATAAAACACTATCCTCCAAGCAAGCGTCCAACTTCTCTTCTCACAGGAAACTGAGCCATAAGGTCTTAATGGCTAGGGTCTTCCCTAATAACTTAATTTGCTGTGATTGACCTACCGATGAATTGGACCCCTGGCAGCTGTGTCAAACAGCGACAGAATATCGGCGAAACACGGGTCTGTACAGTTAACTCTTACCCGTGCCGCTAATCTGGTCATTAATTATGTACGTTTAAATCAGTGTTAAATTTGTTTGGACAACGCCTTCAGACGCTTAAGAACGCAACTTTATATCTAACCACAATTCGTATATATCATCACCTTCCAAGTACTGCCGTTTCGTTTCGCCTTTTTTTCATAACGAAGTGACAAACGGAGTCTGGTATCACAAAAATAATCAGTGCCTAGCATCCAGTCCATCTCCACCAACACAGACGGGAATCTATTCATTTTGAAATTAATCAACTAAATGCCGTGGTCCCAGATGATGAGAGATACATTTGGCAAGTGCGGTTGACTGACTGATAACCGCACACAGAAATATAACTAGTAACATTACCTACAATGTAAGAAGAATATTGCTTAACTTGGTTTATTTACTCTACCCGATAGAAGCTAAGCTACTGAACCATGTAGGGCAACTTAATCAGACAGCGCTGACTCTTTAACGCATACGCAAATTAAACAGGGTATGTAAAGGGAGCTGGAACCTTATTTCCGCCAAACCGTTTGTCTTGCATCTACTTAGCGCATATTTTCCCCAATACAAGGGTCCTATTCATATCTTCATAACTATT